AGCTTGTTCGTCTCCTGTGATAACCGAAAATAGATGTTTACAATTCGCGCGAGAGTCAGTTAGCCTAGCCTTTCCGCATCCCCTGGATCGTCATCAGCTAAATACGTACATGTAGCTCAAGGCCAAGGTCATGTTACGCCCACACAGGCGTCGAGAACAAACTTAGATCGTGACTCACCGCATCGTCGGATTTCATCGCAATGGAAAGGCACCGATAGGAATTGTATTACTTGCGACCCGGCCTTTTTTGTTGAAGTACATGTAGTTAGCTGAACCTTGAACTGAGCTACGAGGTATTATACTGTGGGATCGGGAACGGGGATGTGTAGCGTAAATGAGGCTTAGAAACAACTCCAGCACACTATAACTTGTGTAAGTATAAGTGTAACATCGCGTGTAACTATGGTAACCATGCAACTCGGCTCAAGCTAGCTATGAGTATGAAGTGCACTACCGTCACTCACAAAAGTATAACACTGAGTTTTCAATAACGTCAGGGCTGAAGACAATAAGCCAGGCAGTCGTAGGTGGCTGCAGATGACGACTCTGAGCCTGGCTAACACTCCAGGACAGTCTTGCAATAAAGGAATGTCTTGCGCGGCGCAAAGAATAGTAACAGCGCGTCAGCAGGATAGTGCATGATCATGGAGTGGGAAAGCGTGCGATTAAACTCTTCCCCCCTATTCTATCTATTTTCTACACGGGCAATGGTTAACACGCCTCATCCACGGACCCTTCCACAGTAAAAGGCCTTTTTCAAGGTCTTCAGCTGTTCCAGTACAGCGACTGGATGTTGTCGTGGTGTAGTTTAGCGCAAGGACATCGTTCTTGAAGTACATACATAACAGTTGTAGTGTTTGTTTGCCACCGCCCACAAAACTATAACATTTGAAAAGGTTAGATCGCCAGACCCCCAGAACTTTTAAAATGTCCGTCTTCCTTTCCGCGTGCATCGCCCTCAATGAGACCTCGCACTTCCGCTGTGCATTTGAAAACCACGTTGCTTGGAATATGCCTTCTTTTACAGTCGTACCCTTCTCCACCTGCCTCTCTGCCACCGCTTTGCGGTGTGCGATCAACTACAGACAGAAAACGACTACAATCATGTACATGTACAAGTCATGTACTTCTGGACTGTACTTCAAGTAAGTAAGTAATAGTTAGTTCAGATCAGGGCAGGTACATAGCAATGCACATGATGTACAGTCATGTAGATCTACTTCTTCAGCCTTCACTCACACGGCATGTGTAACATGATTGTACTGTACTTTAGTCTGTAGTGATGTACGTGTACTTCAAAGCCGTTTGTGCGGTTCACATGGTACCAGTGCAATCATAAAAATTAATCATTCTCTGTCTGTCTGTCTGTCTTTCTGTCTGTCTGTCTGTCTGTCAATTGTCGGCGTTCTACCTTGCATGCGATATGAAGCTCTTACTAGTCTTAGCGGCTAAAGGAGCAGTCAAAACGTCATCGTAGAAGAATAACCCTGTCCCGGGATCCCGGAGAGTCGCAGTGCTGTACATCGGAGCGCTCTTGTACAATTCCAAATCGGGTAAAACCGTCTGCATTGATGAACGCTCCATGTCAATCTTGCGAAGCAAATCAACTATGTGCGTCGGCGTGATCGTGGCGATGGAGCGAGAAACCGGTAGCTTGATCCCGCTCCACACCCTTTGGCAAGTAAGTATTAGTTAGTTTTGCCAACATACTAGTACTAGTACTACAGTACAGACTACAGTTTCAACATGCCCCATCCACATGCAGACTCGTATAAAACCCCCATGCCCCCAAATCTTTCCGCAGCAAATCCTCCCTACCCGTTGAAGCACAAGGGTAGCGTTCTTGTACTGTCTGCTGTTTTGTTTTGATCGAAAGGCGAGCGGAGAAACGTTCTCTTGCAGGACGGCAGTTGGCAGTGTTATGTGCAGCAGTCTGTGAACGAGAACGTAGGTAGCTTCAGCGACCATGTCGTGGCTAGTATTGTGTACCATGCCTGCTTTCTTGCAGCCGCCTGCCCAGCACCAGCAGTGGTTTGACATCGTCTGGAATTTCTCTTTTCTATGCATCATCAGCAACTGCCTCCAGTGTCACATGTCGCCGGGACTAATGGTGCGCTTGCAGTCGAATCCGTGGACAACGCAAGTGTCACAGCTGTTTGGCATCAAGGCACAAAACTATCAAGCGCTATGTCTTGTCCTGTACCACCAGTCTTGGGTCGCCAAGTGTACACACTTTCCAACTATCTTCCTGGATTTCTTTGCCTGGACGTACGTGACGGCGTTTTTCCTCGGCACGAATGCAGCACTTCTCTTAGTGGCAGTCGTGTTTATCCAGGCGGTATCAACCACCTCTCCTAGGATTATCATACTGGCTGGTTTCCTCGTATCAGCAGCCCTGAGGCTTGTCTGGAGCTGTTCAGTATTGCCCCTGGAGGCTCAGCTGCAGCTGTGCAGGCTGGCACAATCAACGATATTGATAGGTGCTGTGGCCCGGACACTGGGGCACCTGGGCGAAACAATGCGCCCGCCCATGCCTGCCCATCGCCAGGAATCCGTTTTATGGCGGTTTGCAGATCTCAGACAGCTAGAGCTCGTGAGTGTGAAGAATGTGTGGGCAGGGGTAATGGGCTTAGTCGCCGAGACCAGTGCTGGCATACCATTCAGGCTCCTGGTGCCCTTGCTGAATGTGCTACTGGGCAAGCTGCACTGTCATACATCCAGGCCCAAAGAGTTGGAGTCATTGGCCGAACTGGAAGCTAGAAGCACGCGAATCCTGCGGGATGGCTGGACGAGAGCCGATCCGCACAAGGCCAAGATGATCACCCAGGCATTGGCACTGGAGTCGGTGCCTAACGATGACTCAGTCCCGGCCTTGTTGCTATGGCGCCGATTACTGACACTGGAGTGTCTCGGTACTGTGCTCGTTGTTCAGGGTATGTGGAGCTGCACAGATGATCTCATCACATCCGCTGTAGTGCCTGTAGCTTGCTTTGCACTTTGTCTGTGGAGGCTGCCGTGGGGCAAGACGAAGGAGAACTGTTGCCTTGACACGCGTGTGTTCTGCTACCTGTTGGAAGCCTTGGTGCTGTGTGGTGTGTTTGCTGCCGTGCATTTTCTTTCCAAGGCATTGCATACCAAGCCGCCTGGAAGTGACAGCTACCCTCGCCTCTCACAGTCCGAGTTCCTTTTGAGCATGTATTTCCTGGCGGTGTCCGGGCTCAATGTCTACTTCCTAGTGTGTGTGTGGCCCTCGTTTCATAAATCTCGTACCCACTCTGATTGGCATGAGCAGCAAGATGCAATCATCGACTCTATAATACTCACACAGTCTGCAGAAGCTTCCAAGCCGTGCTCAGGATCGGTTGTCACAGCAACCAGGACCGGACAGAGTTCACGGTCTTAACCTAAACATACCCATGAATTGAGAAATCTGTATCCGTTCCCTTGACCTTCCTTGCCGCACCACACGCACCCAGTCTCCGTAACGAATGTTTGAAATGTAATTACTCCAGTGCTGCCATGTACAATGTACATGTACTGGTACGTGCGCATGTGCATGTAAGCAAGTTGGGTGGCAATAAAAATAAATAATAATATTCACTTCAACCGTTCAGTGATTTACTTTCATGTTTATCTTTCCTTTCTCTACCTACCCGATTCTAGAGTTGATTGATTGATTAATTTTAAATTTTTTACCAGTTTGCACACTGGAACTCATCCTCTGTAAAGTGGCTTGACGTACATGTACATGTATATAAATTTTCTATTTTAGTGTTTACTGTTGGAATGAAGTACTTCGAAGTACTTGGCAACATTTTGCAGAATCGGCAACACTGTGGCCCTGTGTGGGCAAGGACGAAGAAACAGTGATCATTGACATTCACATGCAGGACTAGATTGCGTTTTGAGTGCCGCGGGCAATGATGTGCTTGTGCGTGGATTGCCACTGTAACATGTGGCCCCAAAAGTTGCCGTTTGTGATTATACAGGCAAGTGCGAGACACCAAAAGGTCCGGAGTGCCGCGGATGAATGGACTTCTAGTAACAGTACCATCAGAGGGTGGGTGGGGGTGGGGGGGGGGGGGGGGGGTGGGGGGTGGGGGGCAGTTCTTGTTGTTGTTGAGATTTTATTTAGCACCTCTTGAAACCATGTATGACGTCATGTTCTAGTTCACATCAGGCGCATGTGGTCGGATATAGATGTGAACTAAATAATTAAAAATTCCCAGGCTATGATTTGGTCCATGATCATGAGGACCATGGCTACATCACAATCATGATCAGGCCATGTATGCACCTCAGCACTGATGCCGTGATGGCATCATACACAGAATGTCATATGCACAGTGATAAGGAGTATCAAATGTGTCATGTGACTGTGGACTGGATATCGCGACTCCGATGATTCGCCACTTAGTCATGGCCCAAATTTGCTCTGCCTATATCGATATCAGTTTGCCGCACAATTTTGCCACAAAATTTTCGATATTCTGCTTGGCATTTCCTTTCTCCGTCGGTATTTTGCTTTGGTTGTAAGTAAAGTAAAAGTAAATTATCGTATCCGTTCCCGAGGGGAGGGGGGGCTTTGGGTGTGCTCGAGATAAAACGAGTTTCAAGGAAAACTCAACGATAATTGTCGTTGATGACGACGGCATTTTTTATTGAGCTCCTGCTGCTCAATTTTCTACAGAAATGTGGCCATGATATGAGTCTGTTTTGTCCAACTTTTATGCTTGTTTTCAACCTTCGTGACTGATTGTCACAATGTGTTGAGAAAGTTCCTATAAAGATTCAAAAAAAAAGAAGCCTTGGATTTTCCGAAAAGCCCACCCAAACTCGATGTTTTGCTCAAAACTTGCGCATCCGATATTTTGCTCGAAGCAACAATATGGTACAACAATTATTTGGGCTATGACGCCATGAAAGTGTGAATCATGATATCACGTGGCGCGAAGTTCGAATTTTTAGTTCGAGAAAATACATTCTGGCACTTCTCAAAC